CCTTCAATTCCAGCATCTATATTTGACGTGTGGGTTTGGTTAGTACGCGGAGTGCTTGCATGTGACTGTCCACGAATGGATGGGTTGCTGGGATCTCAAAATTAGGCTGGCATGTTGAATCTTGCTCTTAAAGACGCTTGGAGTGTTGGTGGTGCCCTTGCAATCATGCTTTCCAGGTGCTCATGTTGAGCCAAGATTGCTTCTTCGAAAGCCTCGTATCCGGCATCAACTTCCTCGTCGAACCGCGCCATGCCTTCACACCAGATGTTGCCACTTGCTGTGCAGATTTGCTAATCTACTGTTAAAACAGTTCTAGAACCTAGGAGGCATGGAAACCTTAGGTGCTAGGAAGGGGGTTAACGAGAGTGTCGAGAGGAGAAAGTCGGCCAACAAAAGAGGTTGTTCACTAAAGAGCGAGCAGTACAAATAGGCAAGAATGATGAAAGGTGCACCACCAAACAGAAAGTTATATGACTACAGTATTCTACACTACAGGCAGTTATAGAACAATATATAGAATTATATATTATTCTGGCACGCCCCCATAAGTGCCTGCAGGGTAGAATGTGTAGTCAACGCCCCCATAATGGGGTACACCAGACAGGCCGCAGCAGAAATCACAGCAACAGGCAAGTGCAGAGGCAACCGGTGCAGTGATGGCAGATCGAGCTGTACCAACCCCTCGGCCAATGCAGAAACAGTAGCAGGTGTAGGGGCGGCAGGTCGCATGAGGAGCAGGCTCTATGGCTGCAACGTGCAGCAGGACAGCAGCGGCTCGACGGCAGCACCTGCAGGCCCCAGCAGCAGGTAGCAAAAGCAAAGGCAGCAAAGGCAGGTGGCAGCAGGGGCGGCAGCTGGAGGTGCCACGGCAGCAGCGGGCGACAGCAGCAGATGACCGGCTGACTTCCGTCGCCCCTGATAAGAAACGAGGAATGAATGCATTGAGCAGAATGAGGAGTACAAGTAGTAAACCCTAAAGTAATGTACCCCATATGAACTGCCCCACTACAGCCTACACAGACTATAGCATATATGCCTGACACACCACCACAGGCAAAGTGGGGGAGAACAAGGGGTCACAAGACCAGTCAAGCAAAGCAAGGCAAGCTCAGGGTGGATCACAACGTCACCACACAGTCCGAGCACAAGAGCAAGGCCACAAGGCCAGTTCACATGCAAGATCATATATATAAAGGTAAACAAGCAAGTGCAGGTATAGAAAGAGTACAGTACAAACAAGGTCAAGAAGTGAGCAAGTGAGGCCAAGTAGGCACAAGACCTAGCATAGCACAGAAGCGCTGATGATCACAAGGCGGAAGGGCCTTGGTAAAGATATCAGCAGTGTTGGCCTCAGAGGCCACGTAGGTGAGGCGGAGCTGACCACGCTGCTGCAGCTCACGAGCCAAGAAGTAGCGAAGAGCAATGTGCTTCATTCTGTGCTCCAGTCTGTGCTCCCAACACAAGGCCAGCATGGCCTTGTTGTCTACGTACAGAACTGGAGCAGAATGAGGCGCCTCTCCTAGGTCAGTCAGCAGGTAGGTGAGCCAGCGTAGCTCCTGTGCAGCCATGGCCCCCGCGTAGATCTCAGCCTCACATCTAGAGCTGAGAACAGAAGACGAGCGGGTAGACCGCCACGAAACAGAGCCGAAGCCAAGGCTGAAGGTATAGCCCTGTGACGACCGCTGTGTCGGCTGGTCGTCAGCCCAAGAAGCGTCTGCGTGACCTGTGAGGACCACTCGACGTCGCCCTCCAAGCACTAGCCCCATGCCCGACGTACTGCACACGTAGCGCAACACCCTCTACGCTGCAGCCATGTGCTCTGGTCGGTGTCTCCCAGGAGCAACATAGCGTGCCAAGATGCTAAGAGGGTATGCAAGGTCAGGTCGTGTGCAGGTCATCAGGTACATGAGGCAGCCAACAAGTTTTGGGTACGGGCCACTCGGCTCTACGGACTCATCCGAAGGCAAAGCTGAGAGCGAGTGGCGAGTAGACAGAGGGGTGGCCTGAGGCGAGGAGTACGGGAAGCCGAAGCGCTGAAGGACCTGCTGCACCATGTGTGACTGAGTCAGGGTAATGGTGCGCTGTACTTTGTCCCGGGTGATCTGCAAGCCAAGGTAGCTGCGCAGTTCACCCAGGTCTGTGCACGTGTGTCTCTTCTGCAGCTCGGACTTCACGTGGGCGAGTCCAGCAGTGTCAGCTGTGGCAAAGACCAAGTCGTCGACGTACACGAGGATGTAGAACGGCGGCGAAGAGGTGTCAGTGCGCAGAAACAGCGACGGGTCGGCAGTAGAGGGAGCAAACCCAAGAGTCGCAAGTGTAGCCCTTAGTGTGTCGTGCCACTCACGAGGTGCCTGGCGGAGACCGTAGATTGGGCGCCGGAGGCACCACTGGGTGCCAGGAGGAAAAGACCCAGTGAAGGCAGGTGGGCGGCGCAGCCAGATCTCCTCGTGCAGGCTGCCCTGCAACAAAGCTGTGCTGAATTCAAGAGAGTGAAGCTCGTAGTCGCGCTGAGCGGCTTTGTGCAGCAGCACCCAAAGAGTGGTCATCTTCGGGGTGGGAGAGAAGGTCTGAAAGTAGTCAACTCCCTGCCGCTGACGATGTTCGCCCCAGGTGGGGGAAACTCGTCAACGTAGGTGCCTGTGGACTTCCAGGAAGCCATCTCTGCGTCCATGGCTGACTGCCACTGTGAGGAGTAGGGACCCTTAATCGCCTCAGCGTACGATCGAGGAGTCGGGATGCCTGGTGCATCCGGGTCTCCCTCAGGGGCAATCAGCGTGGACACAAGATGAGGCAAAGGAGCAGCAAAACACAGCAACTCTTCCTGCCTGTCCTCAAGGACGTCCGTGCTAAGAGCACACCCACCCTCGACGGACGGAGGACAGACAGACTCGGACTTAGCAACAAGACTAGTGGCGTAGTCTAGACGACAGCGAGCAGCGAAGTCGACAAGCTCAGCCACTAAGGCAGACGCAGATTTGGACTCAAAGGAAGGGTCAGTGACAACAGTGGCCAGGAGACGCGTGACAGTAGGACTGGCAGCACAAAGAGGGTGAGACTCAGGGTCAGGAAGGACAGGAAGAGAGGACTCTGGAGGAGACGGCAACGGGACACGTAGGGGAGCAGTGGAAGGACGCAATGCCATCTGGTGTGTGCCCGGAACCGCAGGAAGACGCCGACGCGGAACCCGGCGACTAGTGCGAGCAGCACGAACAGGCGACGTAGGACGAGATGAAGGCTCACGACGCTCAGCAAGACCTCCAGTAGGAGCAGTGTAGGGAGAAGGAGCACGTAGAGGGGAGACGGGCTGTAACGGTAACTGCGACTGGACAGGCTCAGGACACTCTGAGGGAGGAGCAGGACCAGTAGAAGGCAGGAGACCAAGAACCTGCTCAAGGAGCGGAACGAAGTACGGTCGCGGCCGCGCAGCGCCTCCAGAACCAGCACGGACAGCACCAGTACCCCCAGCGGCAGCACCAGCGCCAGCAGCACCTCCAGCTCCAATAGCGCCAACTCCAGCACCCTCAGACGCACAAGCGCCAGCAGAACCACCAGCGCCAACACCCCCAGCAGCTCCTGCTCCTGCAGCTCCAGCAGCACCAACTCCAGCAGGACCGGCAGCTCCAGTACCGCTAGCAGCTCCAGCAGGACCAACTCCAGCAGCCCCAGCTGCACCCCAAGGCCCAGCAGCTCTAGCACCGCCAGTACGAGCACCTCCGGGACCACTAGCAACAGTAGTACCTCCAGCTCCAGCAGCACGGCTCCAGCGCCGCGCAAACCACTCGCGCAGCTCGTGTGGAGAGAATGGCTCCCACCTCACTGAAGCACCGCCGGTGGCCACACGAGCAGACCCAGCGCCCCCAGGCGCCGCACCCCCAGGCTCCGCACCCCGAGGCTCCGCACCCCCAGTCTCAGCACCCCCAGGCTCAGCACCCCTAGTCTCAGCACCCCCAGGCTCAGCACCCCCAGACCCGGCACCCGCAGGCTCAGCACCTCTAGCAGCAGCAGAGTCAATAGCTACCTCGACAGGCTCGATTGCGTCTACATGGGACACACCTGACGAGGCAGGACCCTGAGGGGGGAGGGGGTCAACCGGGGGAGGACCTGGTGCAAGGAAGAGCGGCGACGGGGGAAGGGGCGCAGCACGGAAGGGGAAGAGATGGTAGTAGGGCACCGGCTCGTCAAAGGTGACGTCCTGGGAGGACAGAACACGGCGCGAGGTGGGGTGGTAAAACTGCCTACCAGGCGCGTCAGGGGGGAAGCCAAGGAAGACGCAGGGAACAGCACGGGGGGACAGCTTGTCCGCAGACAAGTCGCGGACAAACGCCCAAGATCCTTAGACCCGAAACGCAAACGCATCGCCAACCTTCCCCGTCCACCGCAAGGTGGGGGAGGTCTCTGGCAAGGAGACCCGGGGCTGAAGGTTGAGCTGATGCGCCGCGTACTGAACCGCAAACGGCCACAGAAAATGGGGGGCAGCCGCATGGATCATGGACGTACGAGCGACGTCCATGACCATGCCAATGCGGCGCTTAGCAATCCCATTTTGCTATGGAGAGGCCGGAAGCGTGAAGGTCTGGCGGATGCCCTGTGCACGACAAAAGGCTCCCAGATGGGCAGAGGAAAACTCCCCGCCTCTGTCAGAGTGCAGACGCAGAACAGGAAAGTCGGAGCCGAAACTCTCTCTGAGCTAGAGACGAGCTGCGCGGATCCAGTCGATCAACACCTCAGTGACGCCGCCCTTGCTGCGCAAGGCCTTGCTGCGCAAGGGGAAGACCGTGGTGTAACGCAAGTAGTCGTCAACCACCAACAGGAAGTAACGCTTGTGACCCTGGCCATGGACGCGGGCGGGGCCCCACACGTCCATGTGAAGAGTTTGCAACGGAGCCTCTATCAGAGGAAACTCGAAGGAGTGAGGGGCGGCCAAAGACAAGGATACGGGAGGCCATGCCTTGAAGACGAGGCAGAGAGGGGTGACCAAGACGGTGGTGCCAAAGGAGAGTCTAGTGAGACAGGAGACGACACGAGCAGGGAGCAGACTCAGGTCTAGACCTAGACGCTGCAGCAAACACCTGACTCAACACAGCGACCTGACCAGGCTCAGCAGTCGAAGGAGACTCAGTAGTGAGGGTGTACAGGCTTGACCGCGGCCGACGGGTGAACGTGGCCAAGTGTCGGCCTGTCCGAGCACACGTGCAGTGGGTCACTCGCTGTCTCGCAGGAGTGAACTGGTCAACCCCCCTATCCTGTAGATCAGCTCCACTCACCAAGTTCGTAGAGAACGAGGGGAGGTAGAGACCTGACAGGGTGCCAGAGGGGGCTGTCGGACACGGTAAGACAGTGGAAAAGCGAGCAAGGATAGGACCCCCAGAGGGGTCCGCTAGGGAGACCGCAACCGGCCGACTAAGTGGTGTAAGTGTGGTGCCGTCTCAAAAGAAGGAGCGGTAAGCACCCGAGTCAAGGGTGAAGGTGTGTAAGGCCTGAGCCGACGTGGTACCTGAGAGGGAAGACTCACAAGCACCTGGGGCAGCAGACGCGCTAGCACCTAGAGCAGCACCCTCACCAGCACCTAGAGCAGCAGTCTCAATGCCCGGGTCAGGCGGAACACACAGGTAATATTCACCCTTAACACTATCAGCAACAGCATACATGGCAGAAAGAATAGCATCAAAGTCAAGATCAAAGATAGCAACCCCCGCCCTAGACAGCTCTCCCCAGCGAGGGATCTGAGAGGCCTCAGGGAACTGGTGACGCCACGCGTCCGTTAGGTGGCCGAAGCTGCGCTGGGTGGAGTGCGGGCCCCCGCACTGCTCACCAGCGCGGTCGCCGGTGCGGAGAACGTAGGTGCAGGGACTCGTACCCCCACCGCGCTGACGCGCAGCGTACCACTCACGAAGCTGCTGAGGGGACAGGGTCTCACGATTGCGCTGCTGCTGCTGGCGCGTACCTCCATCAGAGCCACTCTTCTGCGCAGAGCTGCGACTAGGTCCACTGCTGCCGCCGCTGCCTCCGGCACCTCCGCCGCCTCCGCCGCCTCCACCACCTCCGCCGCCTCCGCTCCCTCCGCCACTGCTGCCGCCTCCTCCGCCTCCACTGCTGCCACCGACACCTCCACCCCCGCCACCATTCCCACCACCACCCCCACCCCCTCCACTGCCTCCACCACCACCTCCACTGCCCCCGCCAGCCCCTCCAGCGCCCTTGCCCCCCTTGCCCTTGCCGGTGCGGCGTCTCCCGCTCGGGGCAGATGCAGCGCCGACCGACTCGAAACCAACGAGGTCGGCCGCTGCAGCAGAGGCAACAGAGGGCAAGAGGGGGGAGGGAGAACACCCCTCAAAGACGGGGGTGCGAGGGTCACCACGAGAGGCTCCTACAGCGACTTTGCTCTTCTCTGCTGCTAGGAGGGCCTTCTCGAGGAGGTCAACGGTGAGAGTGGTGGGGCAAACTGAGAGGAAGTGGTCCCTGACTACGCGGAGAGAGCCAGGGAGCCGGGTGACTATGTAGTAGAGGGTGATATACATGGGGGGGGGCTTCTTGGCGCAGAACTTGGCGGCAGGGCGGCTCGGCTGCTCGGCGGCAGGGCGGCTCGGCTGCTGGGCGGCTCGGCTGCGGGCGGCTCGGCGGCTCGGCTGCTCGGCTGCTGGGCGGCTCGGCTGCTGGGCGGCTCGGCTGCTGGGCGGCTCGGCTGCTGGGCAGGTGGGCGGCCCGGTTGCTGGGCTGCTCGGCGGCTCGGTCGCTGGGCGGCTGAGCGGTGGCAGGGCCGCTAGGGGAGGGCGACGAGGCCGCAGGTGGCGGCGATGGGGCCGCAGGTGGCGGCGACGGGGCCGCAGGTGGCAGCGGGGCCGCAGGTGGCGGGTGCGTGGCCGCAGGTGGCGGTGACGGGGCCGCAGGTGGCAGCGACGCGGCCGCAGGTGACGGCGACGGGGCTACAGGTGGCGGCGACGGGGCTGCAGGTGGTGGCGACGGGGCCGCAGGTGGCGGCGACAGGGTCTCAGAGGGGCCGCAAGGGGCCTAGACGGGGCCGAAGAGGGGCCGCAAGGGGCCGAAACGGGGCGGCTACGGGGCCGTAAGGTGCCGGAAAGGGCGCCGCGAGGGGCCGAAAGGGGGCCGCGCGAGGGCCGTAAGGGCGGCGTGAGGGGCCGTAAGGGGCCGTAAGGGCAGCGCGAGGGGCCGTAAGGGGCCGTAAAGGCGGCGCGAGGGGCCGTAGAGGGCGGCGCGAGGGGTCGTGAGGGCGGCCTAAGGGGCCGTGAGAGGGGCCAGTAAGGGCGGCTCGAAGGTAGGGAGAGCACACAGAGCGCGACTCGGGCAGGAGTGAAGCGCGCTCCGGGCAGGAAAAAAAATCGTGGTGGGCCCTAGGTAGCGTTCCCACTAGGGAACCTGCTCGATACCATGATAAGAAACGAGGAATGAATGCATTGAGCAGAATGAGGAGTACAAGTAGTAAACCCTAAAGTGTTGTACCCCATATGAACTGCCCCACTACAGCCTACATAGACTATAGCATATATGCCTGACAGCCCCCTCACTCACACCCGCCACCCCAAACCCGCCCCCCCCCCCCCCCCAGTGCTGCACGCGCAGTAGGGAGAGAGAAGGGACGGCGTGTGGCGGCGTAGCGGTGTGGCGCAGCAGCGAACAGAGTGGCATCAACCACCCTCGCGCCTCCCCCTTCCCCCACCCCCCCTCCCCCCGCCACACCTTCGTCCACAGCGGAAGACACGGCATCGGGCGTGGTTGGCGTTCGCGAGATCGCGGGTAGGGGGGGGGAGAAACGGTTGGGTGCAACAGGTGCCGCGACGAGCGCCGTCGCTTGCGTGGCAGCTGCGGTCGTAGCAGCCGCATGTTCGACGGGAGGGCGGGGCAAGGGGCGCGTTTGGCGACTGAAGCAGCTCGGCCGCCACACCCGCCGTCTCCCCCCAAGGCGACCGTCAATGCAGACGCTCGGGGCCACGACAGGGCGTGACGATGCTGCAGGAGGGCGCGATGGGCAGGCGACGGGGCCGCCGACTAGGGCCGCGTCGAACAGCGCCAAGCTCGCCACGCTCTTCTTCGCAACATTCACGACGAGTGGCTGAACGGGCACAGCTGGGGCCGCGACGAGCGCCATGGCAGGAGTGATATGCGGTGGGCCCATGGAAAAAAAAAAAATCAGGTCCTATGATAGGAACCACTCTGATAACATGTTAAAACAGTTCTAGAACCTAGGAGGCATGGAAACCTTAGGTGCTAGGAAGGGGGTTAACGAGAGTGTCGAGAGGAGAAAGTTGGCCAACAAAAGAGGTTGTTCACTATAGAGCGAGCAGTACAAATAGGCAAGAATGATGAAAGGTGCACCACTAAACAGAAAGTTATATGACTTAAATATTCTACACTACAGGCAGTTATAGAACAATATATAGAATTATATATTATTCTGACATCTACATGTCCAATTTAGATTATGATTGAGTTCTAACCAAATTTCGGCAGCATCCCCCCTAGAGTAGCTCTGATACCATGCTAGAAAGGCATAGTGCCGTCGTAGCGGAAGTCTTGATTGTATAACACGTCAGAACAGAAAGTTTGCAATGGAATTTATTGATGCACTGGAATGACAGAGCAGGGTATTTATGTCTGCATCTAACCCCCTCAGAATGGCCCTATCCACACCAATAACGTCACACCAATAATTCCGCCTGCCAATAATTCTTACCCTCCAATAATTCTAGACTCCAACAATTCTGGCCCTCCAATAGTTGGGCTGGGAGTCTTATAAAGGAACACTACAGTAAAATCTAATAGCATTTGTATTATCTTATGTTTGTATATTTAACGAGGACAACCTTGCAGTGTTTAAAGTCCGAGTCTAGAATGGCTAATTTTCATACATTTTCAAATTTACTGAAGTTGAAGCTAGGTTTGCGAAGGGTGGCGAGAGAAAATTTTGCCGAAGAAGGGTGGCAAATGGTAGAAGCGGGAAGTACAACCCAACTCAACTTTCGAGTTCAAGAAACAAGGCCGGCTGCAGAAATGACAAAAAATGCCACAATTCGCCAGAAGCCGAGATGCATCGAGGATTTAGGATTGTTGACAAAGCTGTTACAAAATCATTTTCAGCATATATAAGAACGATCTAGAACACGCCCTCAGATTTCAAGAATTTTACCCTGATTTTGACTTTGAACCCTGATTTTTATGGTTTTTTTTGGACCCGACAGTGATGAAAAAGTTTTTTTTTTCCTGTTCATACTTTATTTCCAGCGATAAATTTTGTACAAGGCCTGAAATTTCAGCTTAAATTTGTAGAGGACCCTGATTCGAATCATACAGTAGCGAGGCCATCCTTGATGCTGACTTAGCCTAGATTCAATGGATACAGCAAAATTTTCGCCCGGATTTTCCGCCGTCACCGTCAATCACGGGAAACGGCATCTTTGCTGTACTTCCACTCTCACCTCACTTAATGTGTTGTCGCCATCATCTTTCAAATTCGGGTGTGATTGGGCAGTTTCGGCTAATCACACGCCGTACCCAATCACGTTGCCAGGATCGACAAGATTCCACGGCTTGTCGGTTTTAACGGAGTCGCTGTGGAATCTGGACGTAAATATGGGCACGGTACGATCGTTTTTGTGGATGTGCCATCGGGGACCATCCACACCTCCATGGTGGGGTTCGTTTGTGAGTGTCAACCAATCACATGCGAGGTGGGGTGTCCCTCCCTTGCCCATCTTCTTCTCCCCGTTCTTGGATTGTGTTTGCCGTGCTTCACTCTCTGTTTTCTTGGCTGACTCTCTCCACCTTCTCCTCTCATCCTTACTGACACCATGGCTCTTCCCATGGACGGCGATGCTGCAGGCGACGAGCCTGACGACATTGAGGGCGAGATAGCACGCACGGGTCTAGACCTGTTGATGTGCTCGCTTTCCAAAGCAACCAATCCCCGGCGTAGCAAGAACCATACAGATACTCCACCTACAGCAATTCCTACCGTTACTTTCGCCCCACCAGATTCGATTGGCGTGTCAAACTTATATGCTCTAGTCTGTGTAGGCTGTAGTGGGGTAGACTATATGGGGTACAACATTTCTAGGTTTTCCTACTTGTACCCACCTGCTTGCTAGTTCATCCATTCCTCATTCTTCACATGGTATAGAGCAGGTTCCCTCGTGGGAACGCTTCTCAGGGCCCACCACCTAACTCGATCATTTTTTTCTGCCCGAGGCGCGCCCCGTAGGCCGCCCTCACATCGCGCCCTCCTAGAGGCCCCTCGCGCCACCCTTAGCGGCCCCGTCGCCGTCCTTTCCGGCCCCGTCGCCGCCCCTCTAGGCCCCTCGCGGCCCCTTCACGGCCCCATCGCCGCCGCTCGCCGCCCCTCTAGGCCCCTCGCGGCCCCTTCGCGGCCCCGTCGCCGCCCCTAGCGGCCCCGTCGCCGCCCCTCTAGGCCCCTCGCGGCCCCTTCGCGGCCCCGTCGCCGCCGCTCTAGGCCCCGTTGCTGCCCCTCTAGGCCCCTCGCGGCCCTCTTCGCGGCCCCGTCGCCGCCACTTGCGGCCCCATCGCCGCCCCCTCTAGGCCCCTTACGGCCCCTTCGCGGCCTCGTCGCCGCCCCTCTAGGCCCCTTGCGGCCCCTCTGCGGCCCCGTCGCCGCCCCTAGCGGCCCCGTCGCTACCCCTGGAGGCCCCGTCGCCGCCCTTCGCGGCCACCTCACCGCCCTTAGCGGCCCCGTTGCTGCCCCTAGCGGCCCCATCGCCGCCTCTGCCGGCCCCGTCGCCGCCTCTACCGGCCCCGTCGCCACCTCTACCGGCCCCTTCACCGCTGAGCCGCCCAGCAGCTGAGCAGCCGAGCCACCAAGCCGCCGAGCCGCCCAGCAGCTGAGCCGCCCAACAGCCGAGCTGCCGAGCAGCTGAGCCGCCGAGCCGCCTAGCAACCGAGCCGCCGAGCCGCCCATCAGCCGAGCCGCCCAACAGCCGAGCCGCCCAACAGCCGAGCCGCCCGGCAGCCGAGCCACTCGGCAGCCGAGTCGCCGAGCCGCCCAGCAGCCGAGCCGCCCTGCCGTCGAGCCGCTACTGTTCCTACCGGCACGCCCCGGCCCTACTTACTCGGACTGGTGAGATCCCTCCCTGCTAGGCCACTGCAGTCATGGCTACCCCCAGTGTCCTTACCTTTGATGCTGAGGGTCGTGCTGTTGACTTTGAGGTCTGGGTTGATGACCTCCAGCTGTTCCTACAGTGCGATAGGGCAGACGGACTCTCCCTGTTCGATCTCACCTCTGGTGCCTCTCCTGCCCCGCCTGCTTCTACTGACAGCACTATTCGCTCACACTTGGCCACACGCGATGCTGCTGCCCGTCTTGCTGTGCGTCGCCACTTACCGACCACTAAGCGTGCGCACTTTAGCCAGTACAAGAGTGCTAAGACCTTGTATGACGCCGTAGTTGCACGCTACTCTTCCCCTGCCACTGCTGCGCTGAGCCGTCTCATGCTGCCGTACCTGCTCCCTCACCTTGCTGCCTTTCCCACAGTCGCTGACCTCATTATGAACC